AATATATTTATTTTAACTCAATTTTGCATTAGTATATTCATTATATATATGCATTTTCCAAAATTATATCGAATAATTTAATAAACATACAATTTTTTCAACGGAATCGGGGTTTTGACCCCGAAAATATAGGGGGTAGCCGCAAACTGGGGGGAAATATGGTCAGTAAAGTTTGGACTGCTAATTTCACTTGTTGCGTATTCTGCTATATCTGAAAAACGTTTTATGGAAATTGAAAACTTTTTGCATACAATTAAAAAATTCGTTTTTCCAAAGATAATCCCGTTCAAAAATATAAATAAATAAATTTTAGTAAATAGCTATTTTTTATTATTTTATTTAGTAAAAATTGAAACATTTTTAAATTGTAAAGTATATATTATTACATCATTTTAAATTATGTAATTTTATATGACAAAATTCAAAATTTGAGTAAAATCGGTCGAATAGTTCCTAAGAAATCGAAATTTAAAAAAGTCATACAGTTAAAATTAAATTTCTCAGGAACTATTTAACCGATTTCTCCCAAATTTTGCATTTTGCCATGTAAAATTACATACTTTGAAATAATGTAAAAAGATTTATACCCTTCAATTCAAAATTTTGTCTACTGTTATTGAATAAAATAATAAGAAGTAAAAAATATTTACTATAGTCTATTTTTTGCATGACATTATCTTTGAATAAACGAAATTTATAAATGTGAGCAAAAATTCTTCAATTCACTTGATAAATCTCAAGAATGGCGAAATATGCAAAAAGTAAAACTGACTTAATGAGATCCAAACTTTGGCTCACTCTCCTGACCAAACTATGAGGACCATATTTCCTAGATTTCGGATGTTCTCTATATTTTGGGGGTCAGAAATCCGAATCCGTTGAAAAAAGGTATGTTTATTCAGAGAAAGTACAGTTTTGTGTCTTATTTCGTAACTTAAAATATCGTCTGCATTAATTCATTAGCATATTTGAGGTTATTCCCTCGAGCCATTAGGATTTAGTCCTAGAACGTAAAGATCCTGTCATTAGATCAAAAGTTATTCAGAGTGGTTCATTTATTTTTTTGAACAACTTTGCTTAAAAATTCTCGATTTGATTCTCGTCATAATTAATTAAATTTAATCACAAAAAAGCTGAGTAACATCACTCAACTCACTCAAAAAACTTTTTAGAATATGATTTTTTTTTCCATTGTTGCGTGACCTTTATAGTTTCCTGTAAAGAAATTAAAAGACTTTAATTTTTTCTTAATTTTTATTTATTGCTCAGTGTTTGAAACAACAATGTAAAATGAAATAGTTTGGATTATTTTGACACAAAGAAGATGAAGTTTTAATATTAAATACGCAAGCCAGCGTAATTTTTTTTAAAAAAAGAAAAAAACATTTCTATTAATTATTAATATTATACATTTTGAAGAGGTCACAGTAGTCTTCCGAAATTTTTTTAAAATAAAAGTAGAGCGAATCTTTTTCGAACTTTACTTGCACGCTTAATTTACATGCAATAATTATTTTTTGAAGAGCTAAAATTGCTCGCATTTTTTTTAAAAATTGAAAAAAATATAGTGTGTTTTTATATAATAATTTTAAAAGTATCCAAATATGTATAACATATTAATTTTCATTCATTGCTCAGAGTTTGTAACAACAATGTAAAATTTAATTGTTTGGGTTATTTTGTAGCAAAGACACTAATAATTCTGTTGAATTTAGAAAGATGTTTCAATATTGAATACGCAAGGCAGCGTAATTTTTTTAAAAGGAGAAAAAACACTTTTATTCATTATTAATATTATACTTCTTGAATGGGTCACAGTAGCCTTCGGAAATTTTTTTAAAATAAAAGTAGAGCGAATCTTTTTCTTACTTTCCATGCATACTTAATTTACAAACAAAAATAAATTTTTGAAAATTACTAAAATTGCTCACATTTTTTTTTTGAAAAATTTAAAAAATATAATGCGTTTTTATTTAATAACTTTAGAAGTATCCAAATACGTATAATGTATTAATTTTTATTCATTGTTCAGAGTTTGTAACAACAATGTAAAATCTAATTGCTTGAGTTATTTTGTAGCAAAGACACTAATAATTCTGTTGAACTAAGAAGGATGTTTTAATATTAAATACGCAAGCCAGCGCGATTTTTTTAAAAGAAGAAAAAAAACACTTTTATTCATTATTAATATTATACAGCTTGAATGAGTCACAGTAGCGTTCGGAAATTTCCTTAAAATAAAAGTAGAGCGAATCTTTTCTTACTTTACATGCACACTTAATTTACAAGCAGTAATTAATTTTTGAAAATTACAAAAATTGTTCAATTTTTTTTTAAAAAATTGAAAAAATATATTGTGTTTCTATTTAATAATTTTAGAAGTATCCAAAAATGTGTAATGTATTTATTTTTATTAATTGTTCAGAATTTGTAACAATGTAAAATTTAATTGTTTGGGTTATTTTGTAGCAAAGACACTAATAATTCTGTTGAATTTAGAAAAATGTTTTAACATTAAATACGTAAACCAGAGTTTTTTTCTTCCTTTTTTTAAAAAAAAGAAAAGAAAACACTTCATTATTAGTATTCCGCACTATTCATTATTAGTATTATACATCTTGAATGGATCACAGTAGCCTTATAATTTTTTTTAAAAAATAAAAGTACAATATGAATCTTTTTCTTGCTTTATATACACACTTAATTCGCAAACAATAATTAATTTTCGAAAAATAGCAAAACTACTCTCATTTCTTAAAAAAATTTAATGTGGTTTTTATTTAATATTTTTTAAAATATTCAAATATGTATAATATATTACAGTTAGAACAGTTCTTATCGTAAGTTGTGCGCAACAGCGAAAAAAAGTTGAAAAATATCAAGCACCCAGATATGTCATGCTGTAATCATTTTAAAAGCTTTTATGATGCACGTGTATCATGCTGATCGTAAAAAAATTGACTTCATACTCTTTATCATAAAAAAAACTCTTCAGGAAATAAAATTATAAGTAAACGCCAAAAAATCATCCTCGTCGAAAACATACTTCAAAATTTTATTTCTCCAAACACATCCATCATGGACAAGTAGAAAAAGCCATATGTGAAAAATTGTTGATCCCTTACTTAGCAATATAAAATTCCTGAAAAAAGAAGATGATTTTATTCGAAAAAATAAACCAGATGAATTTAAAAAACTGAACTTGAGTATTTTTCGCCAACGTAAGTATTTTTTGATTGACGAACTGAGAAATAATGATGATCGTAACCATCATATAATATTAAGTTGAGAAATCCGTGACTTGTATTTTTAAATTTACTCAGTAGATCTTGTGATAAGACTTTATTCTTCTCATCAGAATGAAATTTAAGTATTGCATTAAAGATCTAATGGATATTAAAATAACAAACACTAATTGAAAATTAGTTAGAACTCAATCCAACTTTGAAGTTGCTAACGAATATATTACCACTTAAAAAACACTTTGATATGTTTGCGTTATTTCTGCATAGATACCTACTTGCTTCGCTTTAAAAGGAAAATTTTTCGAACAATAGCAAAGGTTACAGGTGGGAGACAAAATAATACGAATAATTTTTAATAATTATGTATAAATGTCAAATGCTTTGGTGAATTTTACATGGCAAAATTGATGGCACAATATGAAATATCGCTTTTCGTTAAACATCATATCATGGCGAAATAAATAGTAAAAATATCGACATACAGTTTAAGGATTGTTAAATCGTCAAATAAGAATTTTTTTTTTCCTTAAAGTGATGAATTTTCGTTCTTTTTTGCTTAGTCTTAATCTTATCAACTCTTAATATGCGTACTTCTTTTACTTCATTTTAGACAAAGATTTTAAAGAAATATATTTTGAGTGGTCAGTACGTCACGCTCTGCTTGTTGCCTTGCAATCGAAAAAATAACGTAAGCGATTCATGATAGATATAAAAAAAAGTTATTTGAAAACTACTTTCCATTTAACTTATAATACAAAAAATTACAAGTATATAAAAAAAACCCAACTTAATCCTATATTTCTTGTCGCTTAGGTTGCGTTTTCTATGACACAGCACACTGTTCGAAATTTCTCAGAAAAAATGGTTAAGTAATTTATTTAATTGTCAAGTAACAAAACATTTAAATAATCATAAATAAGATGGTATTCAAAATATTAACTGCGAGTTAAATCGTTAATTAACTTTTTGCATATAACTAATGCAGTTAATCGCCCAAAATTTTATCGCACCAACTGAGCCCACCTAATGAAGCCACTTAGCTTCATGCAGCTGAGTACATATCACAGCCGAGAGGACTAATCGTAAATCTCATGACCGACGGAAATGCAGGTTCGAGTCCCAGCGTTGATGCCACAATATTTCCCCAATTCCCACCACATGAAGTGTTTCCAGTGTAATGCCTTTACCTATTCACGTAGAGATGGCAGCATCATAAATCTCCATAATACAAAAAGTCTAGTATTTTACAGATATGTAAAACAACCAAATATACTAATTAAACCACAGTCCACGATTCATGAGATTAAACACAACTCAACCACAACTAACTCCAATGCCAATTATCTATCGAAAAGCTTAGCTCCTATTCCAATTAAATTTTCTTATGGTTTTGAAACCATGAGAGTTGTCAATGATTAAAAAGCCGTATAGTTTTGTTTTCTTGTTTTTTAAAACCATTCTTTTACAAACGGTTTCTAATTCGTAAGAAATGTTCTTTATCGTAAACTTTGCTGTTAATTGGATGAGCGTTGCAGCCGGTTATTTTACAATTATTTCAGAATAAATTTAGCAATGCAGTATATGTTTTATTGCTTTGTTCTAAGAATGATAGTATTCCAACAACCATCATATCAGATGTATAACTTTAAGAAAAATAAAAGGCTTCCCCCTATGCACTGTTTTCGTAGAAAATTATGTTAAATCTATAGTGCTGTTATACATACGCTAAAAATATTAACACTGATCATAGCGAAATTTTTATTATTACTTCATAATCGTACCACTTTAGTGCGTATGTGAAATATTGTAATTTAAATTAAACATTTGATTATGCGATGCAAAAAATGTTTTTGTCTTAGAAGTCACTGGTACTGAGGAATCTTGCAAGTCCTTTTATGTAACTGCTTAGCACATTTCTAGAAGAAAAAATAACAGACAATAATTATTACAGAATATAAAAAAAATAACAGACAATAATTTATCACAACAGTAAGCAACATTGTTTTTGAGAAAAAGAAAAACAATGCCTAAGCTATTTAATACACATCAGAAGGGGTTGTTAAGTGAAATCTAGAGGTTAATTTCTCCCTCTTTTCAATTTTAGAACTTCATGCTTACTAAATCTTTCATAATTTCTGAACTATTATTCCTATGAAATGTCATTCGATTAAGCGCAAGACAATAGGAAATAATATGTCACATATTTATGCAGTAAAGTTTTTTTCCTTTTTAACCCCTCTCCGTTCAGTAAATCCAAAATGGCTGCTTAACCTCACTTTGGGGAAGAGGCAAACTTCATAAATCCATATCAACCCAAATTAAAACCTTTAAAAAAAGTTTCAGTTTTTTCATAATTATTTCCGTATTGAGTTTCTTGTTATACGGGAACTGATTTTTTACTTAAATCTTTTAAGAGGACCACAAGAGAAAATATTCGTGGAAAGTTCTCTACATACCTCTCCTTTCTCTTTCCTCTATATTTGTAATTTAAAATTAAAGGGACTCCGATCCGGAGGAGCTGCGGTTTGATCTTCGATTCCGTTAAAACTCACCGAGTACATTCGTTACACGCGCTCGTAAAATATATGGAATCAAAATGAGGTCAGTAGCTGAGCAATACCAGCAGAACATGGAACCAGAGAAAATTTCCTTTCCCTTCATATCAATGTCTAAATTGAGGAAGTGGCCTCACTAATAGATTGTGCTGCCATCTATCCGTGGGGTTCTGAGTTGAGATGTACTTTACTCTTGTCCAAACGAAAGGGGCACTTTTCTGACTTAATTCTCAGAAGGCCAATGGCTGGCGAGCTTGGCTTGTGTAAGTGTCATTAGAAACAACAACAACAAAAGTTTAAGTTTCGTAAAAAGTCAGTTCAGATAAACCTAGAGTTAACCATGAATTTTTAAACGCTGAAAAAATATTTGTAAAAGATCAAAATATTAACACATTATTGCAGAATTATTTCCCCTCTGTATAATCCTGCCATAGTTTGTTCGCATTTTGAAAAAATTTAAGAAGCAATTTCAGCAATTGTTTGATTATATATGGTTTAGTCTAGGTTTATCTGATCTTGCTTGGGTCTAAACTTTAATTTATAGAATACTAATGGAGGGAAATGGAAATTTTTCCTGCGGTATAGCGTACAGATTCGAAAGGAAATAGGAAAAAAATTTTCCCCATATTCGCAATCAATCTAATATTATGCCATGATATATTTAAATGCGATTTTATAAAAAATAAATAAAAGTTGATTCNTTAGAACTGAAAGCTTTAAAATTCATACATTTTCAACAATTTTGTGTTCTAAAAGCCAAGTTTGTGTTTATTTGAAGTACAGAGAGTAGTGTAGAGTGAAATTACAACGTAGTATTTTCAAATGGCTTCACGTACAAAAATTAATATTCGCCTGCAAACAATGATTGTGGAATACCTAGAAAACAATCCAGATTAAAATAAAGGAAGCCTTACCTGCATATCTGGCGTAATTACCTCTATAAATATTAAATACCAAATCACTACTATATAAGACAAGTTAACTTGCATCCATCTTAAAGTACCTTTAGACAGTTGAAGGTTAACACTGTCGATTGTTAAATCCCTACACATGCATATTCCAAACAATATAGGAAATTCTAATTGCTAACTTTGATAGTTCCTTTTTTTAGCTAAGATTCTATTGTTTTTTGTAAATTTTTTTTATGTAGCTTCTGTTATTAATTTCCACAATCTGATATTATTCATTTCCACTACTGAATTTTGCCTATGAGTAACACCATTTTAAAAAAACTAATTTCCAATCTAAATTAACTTCTAAATTTTGTTGTCGGGATATTGGAATACCCAAAATCTTATAGGCCGATAGATCTTTCTCTTAATAGTGTTTCAATCACTCTCTGCAGCAATAGCTAGCTGTATGACGGAAAACAGCGCCATTTTGTTCACTAAAATAAACAAACTCTTATCGGAATCTAGATTTCGCTTACTCTTATACTTGCCGGAATGGGATTCGTAATAATTTCGCAACGGAATTTAGTTCCGAGCGGAATCAAGAGCTCGTAATACGACTTAACTAACATTCACGGATTTATGACGTCACGAGAGCTTCATTTCGATCGGAATCAGATTCCGTGAAGCTGGTAATAGGGCCCCTGGG